ATGTCAGATCTGAAGTCGACCCGGGTGACCAAACAATCCCAGACCATCCACGGGACTGGCCTATTGAACGAGCAGTTGGAGTGACTACAGGGGTCAATGTAGGCACATGTTCCAAACAGGTCGTGTCTGGGAATGTTTATTTGAAGGATCACACCATTACAGCACCCCTCTCCCCAGTTGCTCTTTTCATGTTGTGGCGCCTGCTAACACCACACGCCTGCGTGAACTCTTGGTGGAAGAGAGTTCGGCACCCACGCCTGTGTGAACTTGGATGCATGGGCAGCAGGAAGGAACAGCTGGTGAACCGGAGCTCGAAGACCTACGGGATGTGAACCACATCCGGTCCGTCCAAGCAAGACGTTCCAAGATCTGTGTTCCAAGCAAATCGTGTCCTACAAAAGAATCTATGAATCTATATGTATATAGAAAAACAGAAGGATCTGTCTAATTAATTATAGTGGTCTCAATAACAGAAATCTTGTATAGAAACGGTTTCCAACACATGTTGAAATTGATTTACTTTTCCATTACTACTTGGAGGTCTATTTAGAAGAGTCCGCCTAATCAAAAGAAAACACAACAAGTGCCGACGTCATCCCAAAGATCGCCACTGCAGATTGGATGGTGCCGGCATGGCTATCAAGACTCCTAGGGTTCCTCAGGGGTTCCCTGCTCACATCCCACAAGAAGCTGGTTGGGGTGGCACCCAGGGTGGTCTAACTACGCCTCAGGATGTGGGCCAGCCCTAGGGCCCTAGGGACAATAGGTGCATATACATTTATATATATACCCCTAGAAGTCCAAAGACTATATTTTGACCGCCTGAAGTAAAGGAAGTTCCCTTTCAGTTCCCCTAAAGACTATTATTTTTATAGTCTTTGACTCCCAGGGTATATAGATATCCTCCTAAATTACATCGCAGTTGGAATGCTAGGAGACTCCTCAAGACTCGAACGGCGCACTTCCCAGCTTGGTGGATGACGGCCAGGCTGTGAGCCCAGGTCACCCCAGGTCCTCACCCTGTTAGGTTGACCATGTCTAGTAGTCTACCACTGTCAGTTTTGAGGCACCACTGCCATAGGATCTTCCAACCAGGATCATCCAGTCTGGGTGTCCTGGCTAGACTACCCTACTCTACGTAAACAGGTCTCCAGACAGGGCACCCGTTGGAAGTGATAGGAACTATGCCAAATTTCTGCCTTTTGGTTGACTTTTATGAATGAAAAAGCTGACATTTGGCATTTCGTTGGAAGATCCAGGTATAGTATAGGGCTGTGGCCGGTCTTTGGCATTGGAGCCGGGAGTTCTGTCAAAGGCGCATGACTGCCATGGCTCATGGCTCTCTCCAATAACAACATCTGTGGAGCGCTGGACGTACGGGGCCTGGCGTCCGAGCAAAGAAAACACGTCCGGCGCTAAATTTACAACTAAATAAGGTAGAGAGACTCCGGTGAAAAGGCTCGCGTTACTATGGACAAGCCGTATGTCCGTCATTGCTGCATCTTTGTCAGCTCAGGCTTCGAGCAACAGTCGCACAACTTCCAAGTGACCTCCCTGGGCTGCCATGTACAATGGCGTTGCCCCATCTGTGGTTGCTGCATCTTTGTCAGCTCCAGCCTCGAGCAACAGTCG